TGTGTGTGTGTGTGTGTGTGTGTGAGAGAGAGAGAGAGAGAGAGAGAGAGAGAGAGAGGCCTCCTGTGTTTTAGTTGCTTTTACTTTCTTACAGAATGTCCAGTCTATAATGAATATTGTTGTACTTGAAAAAAAGCTAATCTTTCTCTAGCTTTACAAGGATAGTTTAGGTGTTCTGCCCCCTGACTGAATACCAGTCACCCTGAGGATCAGCTCCGCTGCCATTTGTGATCAGCTTTTCCTGTGCATGTAGCCATCCTGTGTCTCCACTGCTTTAACTAGCACCAAGCCAGGGCTGAGCACTTGGGATGCGAAGCTTAAGCAGAAGTTACTTTTCTCACTCTGCAATTTGCAAGTCATTCTCCTATAAATTTAGGTCATTTTGCCTTAAAAATGCTAAATGAAAGCTAGAATTAGAATGTTAAAAAAGAGCGCACACAAGATTTTGCAAGTCGTAGCTCTAGTGTGGGGGGAGTTAAGTCGTATGAGAATAACAACTTGGAGTGCGTGTGAATTCTGTGTCTCATTGATGACAGAACTGGAGGAGACCTCATGTTAACTGTTCTTGCACAAACTTTCTTAAAGCTGGAAACCATGAGCACAGCTTCTTGGGGAAGTGTACTTCAGGACTTGATCCCCTTAAATCAGCAGATCTTCCCCGTGCTCAGTGGAAGGAAGCACCTTATGTTGGGATTGCAGCTCATTCCCTTGTTTGGTCTCCTAACAAGGGAAACAGATTGCTAGTATTCTCTTGTAAAGTAAACAAACAAACTGGCCTGTCTTTTCCAAAGGAAACCATTTCAAATGATTTTCCACACACAGAGAGAAAGGATGCGAATTCGGACATCCCCTGGTTTGTGAGCTGAGCCGAGAGCAGCCCTGCATTCCTGAGCTGCAACTTCAACAAGGGGCCACTCGCTCTTCCTTTTGACCCCTCCTCTTGCATCGAGCTCCTCTAAGGCCTCCCCATTGTTGTTCCCTTTGGGGGTGTCCAGTTTATGTCTCTGAGTTGTGCCATGCATGTCCTATGCTAGAATTGACCACCAAACTTCTTTTAGTCTCAACGACCCTGAGCTGGGAAGATGGCTCAGTCAGTGATGTGGTTCCCTCGAAGGTCAGGAGCCTGAGTCTCAGGCCCAGAACCCACATTAAAAAGCTAAGAGTGTTAGTTACAATTTAAGACTAGGAGTGCAGTCTGTGGTAGAATGACTACCTAGCATGCGTAAGTCTCTGGGTTTAATGCCCAGTACTCGAACCATAGAGAGGGGGATGGGGGAGGAAATCTAAAAGTGGAAAGCAGTTTAAGACTACTTTGGTAGTAGAGCACATGTCCAGTCTATGTGGACCCTTAGGTCAGTCCCCAGTGTTGACAAAAACAAAAACCAACAAAAGATACACAAAAAGCCCTCTCATCTAGAATGAATGTTTATCGGTCTCAGCTTCTTGAGTTATCCCACTTGATCCATATGAAATAATTAGAGCCTTTCCAAAATTGATATTCAAGTCAACATCCTATTTATAAGATCATCACTAAGGAATAATAAGATCATAGTTTTAGTGCTAAAAAAAAATACTACAGATCATACCTCAAGTTAAAATGGAAAGTATATGGAATCAGAATTGCCTTTATTTTTAAGCTTTCCTCTAACCCATAGAGTTTGTATTCATTAGATACAGTAGATTTATTATTAGTGTATATGACTATACACATTTACTATTAGAGCATATATGTGTGTGTGCATAAAATACATACTTGTGGCCCTAGTACTAGACATACACATTTGGAATCATGTCTTCTTAATGAATCGTCTTTCATTACTATAAAATCTTTCTCTTTATCTCTAATAATAATACTCTTATCAGTCAGCCTACTCTGTCTGCAGCTAACATGGCCACCCAGCTTTCTTATAGTTATAAACTCCTATCTTGTTTTTAGATTTGTAAGTATATTTTTTAAATAGCACATAGATGGGTCTTGACGTTCATCCAGTCTTTAAAAAAAAACAAAAACAAAAAAGAAAGAAAGAAAAGAAGAGAAAAAACACTGTCATTCAATTGTAGCATTTAACCCACTTACATTTAATGTAACTCACCTTTATTCTTTGAAAATCATTCACTTATATCTCTATTAAGATGCCTCTTAGGTCATAGTAATCTATACTCTGAACTATTCCTAACGTGACCATTCAAGACGTGCCACCTGGGACAGGGATTTTTATCCACTGGCTGTAGTTCTCAATCTATTACCAGTTTCATTTATATAAATCTATTCCTTGTGTAGCCTCTCAGCAGTTCGCTCTCCATGTTATGGGTTCTTGCTCTCACGGGTACAGCTCAGTGCAAGCTTTTCCAGACACTCAGATTCCCAGTGTCTCGCAGTGTCTTCTCTCATGTGAGCTCTGCAAGTTCAGGCGACTGTTTTCCCAGGTTCTCATCTCTGTCCCAGCATCAATGTGCAGTGCTACCCTGGCCCTACTTTTCTGAACCGTAGTCCAGGTTACATCCTTTCCTTAGAGAGAAACTCGCCATTGCTGGCTGCTCATGTTTGTCTTGCTTTAGGAATCTGTTTTACTTGATTACTACAGGGGAGTTCGTCTGTTACCAATTAACCAACCTCTCATGACCAGAAGTAGAAATCTCATAAAAATATATCCTTAAAAATCACCCTTCCTCCAAATAAATTACTTAATTAATTAAAAAATAAAATCACATTTCTTGAGAAATGGTCTCTTGCATCCCTGTGGTCCTGTAACACTGGAGAACTAGACTGAGCCAGCATGCTTACTTGAAGAGTAGGCAGCAAAAGTCCACCTGCCCAAGCATCCTAGAGTGGCGTACACGGAGGCAGACATCCGTAGTCCAGTTCCTGTCCTGGACTTTCTTATCTTTGTCCTGTTTTTTTCACTGTAGTGATCTTCTGAGACTTTTCCTGTATATAAGATAGAACTTTAACCTGTGAAAGGTTTTTCAGTGAGACCCTCATTATTTAAACATCCCCCCTTACTCTATTTTGCTATGTAAGTAATGTTATTGATCCTACTGTTAACACAGGCATGAAAAGAACTATTGATATGCTTCTGGCAGTACTAGGTTACTGCCTAGCCAGTTGCTTTTGCAGCAGCCTGCTCAATAAGCCTGTTTTGCTCCTGACATTACTGTCACAGAGATTCCAGAATAATTCCTATGCTATGGGACTATGTCAGTATTAGACCTAGAGGAGGGCTGGGGTTCTTGGTGTAATTGGCTTTTCCTTATGTTTTTCAGTTTGTTTTCTTTGCTGTCTAAAAAACACAACAAGGTTCTGGAGCAAGCCACGCAGTCCTTGAGAGGTTCCCTGAGCTCCAACGATGTCCCTCTCCCAGATTATGTGAGTAGCTGCCCTATCCTAGTCCCCAGCTCTCTGTGCTGTTAGACCATGAGTGACTGACCCTCTCCAAGTCTGCTCATGCCTTTGGACATCTTCAGTGAAGTAGCTGGAGAAAATCAACCTCAAGTGGTGATTGTTAACAATCAGGAATCCTAGTAGTTGGAATCAAACAAACAAAAAACCTCTCAACCCAATTCTTCAAAAACAGAATATCCAGAGATATGTCACAAGTCCCTACCTTAAAAGCGAGGGGGGGCATATAGGGGGGCAGTTGCAAGGGACTTGAATTTGGTTCATTTGTACAAACTTTTTTATCCTTAGACAATATTGTTGAATCATGGATTAGTGCTATGTCATTTATTCCATAAAACCATGTTGAATTTATGTAGTTTTAAAGTCCCCCTATTTTCTCCATTAATCACAGAGTACAACATTGACATTTCTTAGAGGAAGTGGCCATATTTAATAGTCCTTGCCAGTCGCGTGTGATTGTAATGGTAGAACACATTTATGATAGACATTTGAATTCTATATTGAACCTCATAGTTCTTACTGACTTAGAGAAGTTCTGAGCCCTCACTCCCTAGGATCACCAGGGAACTCTCACTGCAACCTGTCCCTGCAGCCCTCGACCTAACACTGAGCACATGATGCTGTGGCCCACACCTTCTCTGCCAGTCTTGCTGCCTTTGCCCAGAGCTAACAGGAATGACTGGAGCTGAATCACTACCTGTGCCAGGCCAGGGATCCAAAAGGTGATTTGAGAGAACAGTAGTGGGCCTGCAGTGTGGCTCAGCAGGTGAAGAGTCTGCTGCTTTAAAAGCCTGAGGACCTGAGTTCAATCCCCCAGAACTTAGTAAAAGTAGGAGAGAAGCAGTTCCACAGAATTGCCCCTGACCTCCATGCACACACTGTGGTGTGCTCACCCCCACACATGTGTTACACACACACAACAATGAATAGGATAAAACTGTTAGCAAGGAAATGGGTATGTTCCTCTTTGTTTTGTTTTCTTTTGATTTTTTACTTCCTCAGAATTTTAACCTGTTAAGGTATCCTTGGCAATAGCCACAAAATTCTGTGTCCTGGACTAGCCTCAGACAGCTTGCTTGCAAAACTGGAAAAGGAGGAGGAGAGGGTCTCTGCAGCTCTTGGGTCCCAGATGTGTGCTTTCTGCACCAGATTGGAGACCATATTAGCAGAGTTTAATAAGTGCTTAAAAATAAGCCTATGTTTTCCTTCTTGCCCTAACACATAGAACACTCAGGGTCTGTGTAGAGGTTTCTTGAGTTTATTAAGAAAATGTTTATACTCATTACACTGTATAATTCACAAGTCAGTTGAGTAACAATGTAAAAAGAACATGGCAAGTTACAAAAATATCAGTGTTAGTACTTTAGTCTCACCATGTTTGTCTAAACACCTCATGGGAAACCCTTCGTCACATTTTAGATAATGAGGAAACTGCACTGGCCACATAAGGGAAAAGAATACAAAAACCGTACTCTGTAGAGTGCACCCTGGGGGCAGTGGAAGTATAGGGAGGGCAGCTAATGCTCTGGGGCTGGCATGGCTGGCGCGTGCGTGTGCGTGTGCGTGTGCGTGTGCGTGTGTGTATGCACGTGCACACACATGCACATACATGTCTCTATGGGAGGCTTTCACAACTCAGTGAATGGAACGATGGAGGAGCTTTGAATGGCTTTTAAAGACACTGGTACCATGCAGACAACTTAATCATGTGTGACAGAGCCTGAATATAGAAAGTGATAGCAAATAAGTTGTCGTTGCTCTTAACTGTTACCATGTTTTTACATTATTGATCCTGTCAGTGTCACAGAGGCGGTTTCCTTGCCTCCAACAATCACCTTAGCAACTGTTGGAAGTGAGAAAACTCTAACTTGTGTTCTGGACAGAACTACAGGAAGTATGCTGTTACTGTTCTTTCAGAGAGCTTTTGAATCTTCTGGTTGGCCAAATATATCATCTCATTCAGGTAGTAAGTAAACACAGGTAGAAACTAGAAGGACTCCAGCAGTGATCCTCACTTGGGAGAAGGATCCAGGCCTGGCGGTCAGCCGAGCAGACGCAGTAGCCAGCGGTTCAGCTCGGTGCTGAGCAGCCCGTGCTGGCATGACCCCCTGCTCTTTGGAGTCTTGTTTTATTTTGTCTCTTCTTACAGAACGTGAATTCTGTCCAGAGGCTACTTGACGGGGAACAGCTTAAAGAATGAGTACCTCTATATTCTTATGTCTTTACTGTCTCTTGGTTTTAAGTTACACTATGGTAAATACCAGTGTGTGTAATCTACGTGAAAACAGTCATTTCAGAGCATCTGATTGTTAAAGTGTGTAATGATGTCTCTGGAGACCAAAATCACACACACACCCCAATTAAATATATATTGTCTTTATACTATAGTTAGTCCTCTGCCCAGACAATTGAATGCACTTTAAAGATCAGAAATTGCCAGGTGGTAGTGGCACACACCTTTAATCCAGCACTTGAAAGCAGAGGCAGGTGTATCTCTATGAATTCCCAGTCAGCCTAGTCTACAAAGTGAGTTTCAGGACAGACAAAGGCCGCACAGAGAGATCCTATCTTGAAAAGCCAAACAGAGAGAGGCTGAAAAAAATAGATTTGGAGGTTAGTTTTCTAGGCTGAAAAATGGATTTGGAAGTTGGGGGGAGACAGGATTTCTAGCCTGGTTACCATCAAACTCCCTGCATCCTCCTGCTTCTACTGTCCGAGCCAAGTGCTGGGATTACACACCTGGTCTCTGAGGCACTGAGGGTAGAGCCCAGAGCTTCTGCTAGGTGAGCATGTTACCAACTGAACTACATGCCTAGGCCTATGCATATTAGCTGATAACCCAATTTTGTAAACTGGGATCCACTTGAGATGCCCTGGGTTGGAAGTCTTACAATTGTATCTGTGTGGTATGAAATGAGAATTGCTTGGCCATTGCCTAAAGATTTGTTTTTAATATGTGGTGGGCATGGGTAACTTCTGTGCTTCCTTATTATATTTCTTCATTAATTATTATATGATCTGTATGTTAGTTTGATTCTTTTGCAGTTTAAGAAGTTGTAGCATTTTTTTTCTTTTTATTTCAAAACAAATAGAATGTTGTTGAGCTTCTCCTTGTCTGATTTTATTCCTGGTCTCTTGGATTTCTAAGAATCAAAGCTATGCTCCTAGAACTTGCTTTCCTGAAGCCATGTTTGCCTGTCATCACCGATCCACCTAGAACCCCAAGATGCTTTGCCATTGAGTACATTTCCTGCCCTTCTAGTGCACAGCGCTAAGGAAAAGGCTTTCGCATCTGTTTATATAACTTATATCTGCTTTTAAACATCGGTGTTTTCTGAAACATAGTAAGAGGCATTCTGACTTGATTCCTATACTAAGGAAAATTTAACTCAGTATTTTCTGTATTACCCTATCGTTTATGTCCCTTGCGTCTGTTCTTTAGCCTTGGCTGGGTGGAGAATGTACTGTTCACATACTCGGAACACTTATCTTGATCGTAGTGGTATGTCCAGAAACATGGGAGTTTATTTGTCATTTTAAAGCAGTCCTTTTGGGATTTTCACTTTTGAGGCATGCTCATGATTACCAACCATATTTGTATTCACTGTAAGGAAAGTAGCACAGACTAGAACAACGCCATGTCTTCTCTCTTGGAGTTACCTCAATGTGGTTGAAGTGAACAGTACATGCTGCTGCACGTAAAGAATTTCAGATGCATGACTAAAATAAAATTCAATAGTTGGTAAAGTTTATAAATCTGTAACCAAACCTAACAAATGTCCAAAGAGATAGCCTTCCTTGTAGAAGCAGGGGAGAGGGGGTAGCAGCCTCCTCTGAAGGGAGCTGAGACTTGACCTGGGTCCGATTGCATTGGGTTTTGATTTGATTTTTTGAAAAGGATGGTATACTCTTCACAGTGTGTTTTGGGTCCAGCTTATGCACGTGCTCAGGAACCATGCATCTGAAGTTTAATTCCATGCACAGCAGGTAACTGAGAATGTGCCATAGCCTAACCATAGCAGCCAAACATCATGAGGTTAGAGGAAGTCAAAGCAGATCATCAGGAGTTTGGATTAAGCAAAGACTTAGATATAGCGAAAGCATAAAGAACAAAAACACTTGGATAGTTTGGACCTCATCACAATTTAAAACTTTGGGTAAGAGCACTTACCTATCATTCACAAGGCCGTGGGTTCAGTCTTCAGTGCCATATGACCCAGCTGTGATGGTGCACTCCGGGAATCCCAGAACTTAGAAGGTGGAGGGAGGCAGGAGGATCCAACATTCAAGGTCATCCTCAGGTGGATAATGAATTGAGGGCCAGCCTGGGCTATAACAGACCCTACTGCCAGAAAATAAAGTGTAAACTTCACTTTTATAGGACTCAAATAAGACATTGAGGCAGTAAATAAAAACAGAAAGAAGCACTAGGGATACAGAGGCAGGCAGATCTCCAAGTTTGGGGTCAGCTTGGTCTGTATAGTGAGTTCCAGGAGAGCTGGGGCTATAAAGAGACTTTTCTCAAAAACTAAAGAGTGAAGCAATAGCCCACTATTATAGTTTCAAATCCAGAATATATGTGCAAAGCGTATAATTAATCAGTAAAGCTATGAACAGCACACTTTAAGACAGGGCAAACACAACACTTTGTAGCTTAGTCCTGTGCCTTGGGAGATACAAAAGTACTTGAAGGCTTCTCTTGTTGGAGATCCTGGGCCTATAGGCGTGAGTTAGAGAATGAAGTTGTCTCTGGGCCTGACAGTAGGAGGCACTTCTGGCAAGAGGAGGCTAGGTATGACATAGGATGCAGTTCTAGCCTCAGGAGAGCCACATTCACCAGCCGCGGGTGAACAGCAAAACCAAGAGAGACTTGCCATCTGTGTGGGGACATCCGAGTGTTTCTTTACACCTAAGACAGGACTGCTCTGTACGTTCTCCTCAGGATGCTGACTAGCTGCTCACTGTGC